CACTGGTTCTGTGTCTCTATTTAATTCACATCTGTGACACACAAACAGGTAAGGAGCAGTGAGATACAGCTGTCTGTTTCACAAGTGCTTACAGCTGTTTACAGGGAGCAGCCCTTCAGGAGGAAGGTAGATCATAGGGAACAGGGTCTTCCTTTTGTGGAAGAGTAGAGAAGGATTATCCAAATAACAACCAGTAAGCATTGCATTTCTCAACTGTAAAATATATGTCAACAGTGTAGTGACACCAAATCTGGCATTTCACTAGAACAAATTGTTTTTATTTCCTGGAAATTTTCCAGTCTTGACTGCTGACTGCTTCTGAGAAGTGCTGTGTATTTTATTGTCTCTAAGAGGAGCTGTCTGTGGGGCTCCCCAAGTTAACTGAATTTCTAAAGTATTTGGAATTATTCTGCAAGTGTCCCCTACCTAGAATACCTGCAATATTTGATAGATACTTTATCTGACTATCTCAGGGGGTTTCTTTTGGCTTATTCTGTGATTCTTTCTTCAGCTATAACAGAATGTGTCCTTGCAGCTCTATGGAGTGCTACACAGAAGCATTGTCATTTTAATTTTTTTAACACAACATAAAATATGTCTAACTTCTGAAAAATATTAGGGACATGGAAATACCATTCAGTAAGTTTTATTGCTATTATTTCTATTACAGTAGTAACTAGACCGTTCTATCAGATCAGCATGGAGAGTAGTCTGTTGTCCAGATCACAGTTAAAACTTTTTTTTAAAGGTGTTTCAGGATAAAGGGCTATAATACACATCTGCTAAAAAAAGAATTATTTGTATTTAGAAAATAAAGAGCACACTTTTAGCAAACATTCTGTAAAGGCAGGATAAGTACCCCAACACTTGGGAACACTTGGGAAGAAAGATATTGGTGACTCTACAAATTATTATGGTCAACTCTTGCTGCGTCCCAAATAGATATGTTTTTTAGAATATGCATTTACCTGTAATTTTTTTTGTGTATTTCTTTGGTGTCCTGTATCCAAAAAGGGACAATTACATTATGATGGGATGTGAAATACAAAGCATGTGATTCACAGTTTTTCCCAGCTTCTTGTGTAGAGCAAATGGGTCCTTATATATTTATCTATGCTGTCTGCAGAAATGAGGTAACACATTGTTTGTTTAGGCTGTGCTTATTGTCATGATAGAACATGGATGGTTTTGATTAGATGATGAAAACTTGATCTTGCATTTATGTCAAAAGGCAAGATAACTGCCCTTGACGAACACCACATCTATTCCTCATGACCAGAGACCTCCTTTGGGAGCTGGGGGAGTGGGAGGGGTGTCCTCTGAGAAATAACAGTTGTAATTCAGGTGTTGCAAACAAGGGATAGAAGATGGAGAAGAGAGATGTGAATTAATTGAAAGATGGAGAGAAAAAGTAACAAAAGCACTACACCCAGCACCTTCCAACTACCTGTGCACATCTAGTACCTACTAAAACTTTTTTTAATTTGCTTTTTAAATACAAAAAGAGTGGCAGAAGTTTCAGGTTGCTACTTTGACGGCCTGCCGTTGTTGATCAATAGTATACTATAAATTGCCAAGTACAGATCTATGCTGAGACAGAGAAACACTGGAGTCAGGGAGTTCTTGTTTACAGAGCTGCACACTGAAGAGACAGGTGGAAATGAAAGCACAATTTAGCCCAGAAAGCTTACTTACAAGTGCAGTTTTGGAAAAGATAAAGTAACAAAATGCTGTAGTTTCTGTTTTTCTCTATGCTTAAAGATTGTTCTGGAAAACCAGGACTTCATTGGGAGGAGGCTTTCAGTAAACTTTGGATAAGAGTATTTCTGTATACTTTTCTTGCATTTCTTCTTGGGCCATATGAGCAAGACAAACATTTATCTCAACAAATCCAGTTTATGTTTCATAAAATGTGTAAGCTCCCTTTCTGAGATTTTTCTCCTTGAAAATATTGTTGTTTCTGATTTCAACACAGGAATGAAAAACTTGATGTTCCTGGTGGTTTGTTAGAAATGTCCCACTACTCTGAAGGTGCTATGAAGGTGCAGGTCTAAGTTCAGTCCTAATCTTTCTCGTTTCTTCTTTTTCCCCCTCCTCGTTCTAACTGCATTTTAAAATGCTTTAAATGGATACGAGAACTAGGTTAATATGTAAGTCACTTGCACATGAAGAGGCAATTTGCAAATGTTGCTGCACTGTCTCCCAAGAAATGCGGGTCACTGCAGTTCATGAAATGGTGCTGGAGGAAATAAGACACAACCTGGACTTGTGGAAGCCCATTGCAGGGGGGTTGGAACTAGATGATCTTATATGTCCCTTCCAAACCAAGGCATTCTCTGATTCTGTGAAATGGTCTGTGCCAGTGCAGTAAGGATAGTAAGGCTTAGGTAGCTGTTAATGTGTGGCAGGCCAGTGATAGATGACGCCTGGAGCTGCCTAGGACTAAGTTACAATATACCCGTGTTTCCTGTTTGAAATGTCTTCCTGGCTAAAGAAAACTTTTAAAAACACTTAATATTGCAGTTATCTCAGACCAAGATAAAATTGTTTTTGTTCTAAGCCAAGGCTGTCATCTCTAAAATACTCTAAAATTAAATTGCTGCTAAGGAACACTGTATCTTGAAGGAGTTTACCAAGTACCTTGCAGCTGCTTGCTCACTCTCCTCCCACCCCTCCCAGTGGGAAGGAGATTAAGAAAAAGAAAAGGTAAACCTTGTGGGTTGAGATAAAAACAGTTTAATATTTGAAACAACTAATTTATTATTATTATTATTATTATTATTATTATTAATAATAATAATAATAATAATAATGAGAGTTGAGAGTAACAGAACTCAACAGAAACAAGTGAAGCACAGTAAAATTGCTCACAACATGCTGCCTGATACCTAGCCTATCCCAGAATGTGTTGGGCCCCCTTACAAGTAACTTCTCCAGCTTATAAACAGGACATTCTGTGATATGAAATATCCCTTTGTCCACCTGTCCTGGCCATGCTCCCTCACAGCTTTTGTGCACCTCCTCACTGGCAGAGTATGAGACACTGGGAAGTTCTCAGGGTGAATTGTACTTAGCAACAACGAAAAAATCTATTGCACGAGTCATGGCTTTGCTCATCATTGCAAGTGTAATTGGACCTTGAATGCCTGTCTCCCACCTCTGAGGCAGGTGTTCTAACACTCAGTTTAGCACTAAGAATTAATGTTGTAGCAGTCAGAGATCCAGTGCCCAGATTGTCTCTGCCTGTTAAATTCTGGAATCCCAAAGTGCAGATAATCTTGGAACAAATGCAATCAAAAACATCTGTTATTTTGACTGCAATACCAAACAAATAAAATGGTAGTGTAACACTGAGGACCAGATAAGCTGGTCCTCGTTTTCATCAGAGAGGTTCCTGCAGCATGTAGATGTGGCTGCCCTCACAGTGCCAAGCAGTCGGGTGGTTCAACTGACATTGTTCCCTGTTGTCATTGTCTGTGTTGATACACTTAGATTGTGCTGAAATAGATAAGGATAAATTTTTCCTAGCTATTTCCTGATAATCTATTGGTTCAATAAACCCTGAGTTGCAGAGTGCCAGGTTCAAGTGGCTCCTCTGTTACACAGCAAGTTGAACTACTTTGCCCTTTATTGCTGGGTAACTATCTAGAGTTCTGTAGAGTTCTGAGGAAATTTCTCAAATCTTCAAACCAAACGCCTTCTACAGGATCTAGTTAAGTATTTCTTGCCCCGGCGGTAGCACGGTGTTCCTGTGCACTGTTTGTGTTTCTGAATCTAGATGACTTTGTTGCACCACAGGGTAACTCGGCGTTGGCATGGATGCTCTCTGTGCTGCTTGCCTGTATTGGGCTTTTGTTCTTGCCCATGTTATGAATAAGAAGCTTGACTAGGCCAATATTCAAGCAGCAATTTATTGTTTAATATGGTAAAGTATGAGCAATACAGTGCTGGGTACAGTGGGGGAAGTTTTCCCTCCAACTGCACACTGATAGTTGAGGCTTACAGGTATTTATAGGGGTACTCAGCAGTTTTTTTCAGCAGTTTCTATTTCCAATCTTTTACTCATCAGCAATTTTTATTCCAAATTATTACATCACAATTCTATAACTATTGTGATTTTAATTTCTCAGGATGTATCTCAAAGGAGTATCCCCAGATGGTGACGGTCCAGTTTCCAAAAGAAGAAAGACGACTCCCATCTGGTGGGGTCCAGCTTCCCAGATGCGTGTCCACCCTTTAATTGCAGAGACTAGAAATCTCATAACAGTGATGTCCAGCTTCCCTTTGGTCGAAACCATAAACCCTTGAGGTGATGTTCATCTTCCTTTCTCAAGCTGTTTTTCTCTGCTTCAATAAGGCGTGAGATAAGCATATTTCTTTTATATATATTCTAAAGCTATAGTTTCAAGGATACAAGTAATATTCTAAAATTATACTTCAAAAGGTTATTATTGCAGAGCTTTTTATGGACTAAATGCAAGCAAAAAGCAACATCTTTAACACCTTAATTCCAATGCCCCTAAATCAACTAGGGTTAATTGCAAACAAAAGATAGGTTCAAAGGCCTTTTTCCATGCTTTATTTTCCTCAGTTATTATTACAATTCACAGCTCTCCCATTGGCGGGGTCCACACATTTCGCATTCACAAATACACACGTCGCCTGTTTGTGCCTGACACGAAACACAGCTTGGCATCTCACACCCATCACAGTCTGGTCGGTTTTTCAGTTTGCTGTGAGGACAGTCAAAAGGGCCGGGAACAGGTCATTTATCCCCCGTTCTTCTCTCCTACGCCTACCCCAGACAACTGTGGCTCCTTAACCTTCCTAAGGAAACCAGCTCCAGCCTGGGGAGCAGGGTAGGGCCAGGCACAGATGCCGCGCAGGGGCCTGGGAAGGTGCGGGGGCAGGAGGACGCTGTGCTGAGCTCCCCTGGGCCCGCTGCTCTTCCGCCTCTGCGGTGAGCGCCGGTGGCGGCCCCAAGCGCCGGTGGGAGCAGCCCCGTCCCGCAGGGACTACAACTCCCAGCGCTCTGCGGCGCGGCCCGGCGGCGGCCGAGGGGGTGAGAGCGGCTGCCCCGGGAGCCGAGTTCTCCTTCAGGCCGCAGCATGAACGGCAGCGTGGCGGGCGGCGGCTACGCCGAGGAGATTATCAGCCTCACCCGCAGACCCTCAGGTAAGGCAAGGGCGGCCTCTCCACGCTGGGTCCGTGGTCTCCCGGGCCGGGGCAGCCGCGCCGAGGCCTGCGGAGCCCCCGCCGAGGCCGGAGCGGAAGCCTGGGGTGGCGGCGGCCGGCGGGACGGCCGTGGCGGGCACCGGAGCGGCGGAGGGAGGATAGAAGCGCAGCGCCCAGAGGTGCCGGGCCCAGGGGACTCCCCTGGAAGTAGCCGTGGCGGATACGCTGCTGCGGGAAAAACTCGTGCCGTGCGTGAGGGAGAGCTGGCCGGGTCAGAGTCCGTCATCTGCGGGAGCTCCGGTGGAGGCTGGTGTCCCTGCGGACAGCTCGCCTCCGGTTTCCCCTGGAAGTTGCCATCTCCGGTGGAGCTGTTGCTTCCAAGTGAGGCGGCAGCCGCTGAGCGCCCAGCCGCGTTGGATACCCTGAGTGAGTCAGGGGCCATTTGGAAATCATGTGCCCAAGTGGCCGTCCCCTGTGTTGTCAGCTTGGCGTTCATGGTGCAGCGTACCTTGGGATGCTTTGGGGTGTTTAGAGAGAGGAGCATAGGCTGGAAGGAAAAAGGAATAGGGCACTTCGTGGGGCGTTTTTTGGCTTTGCTTTTCATGTCTCAACAGCAGGTGCGCTCATGGAAACCGTACATTTTTATAAGATTTATGGTGCCATTCACTTTCAGAAGTGAGGCAAGTAAGCACGAAATGTACAGCTCTGGAGCAAAATCCTGGCTATAGAGAATGGCAGGCTCCGGGAAGGCTTTTGGAGCTAGAGTTATACTTTGGTGTCTGGGGCCTGGGGCCTTCTCTTTAATTTAAATGAGTAGGAACGAAAACGTGGCAGCCCTTCTGTTCTGCACAACTGCTGGGTGCAGCTGCTGGCCAGCCTTGGCTCCAGGTGCTCCCCAGAGACCCCAGTGCCACGTTGTTGGTGGGTGTCTTTCCTTTCTCTGGGGTGGAGGTAGGTCCCGTGCAGGGCTGGCATTGGTGCTGGCTAATGCTGGTGATCAGAACCTAGAGGGTGTGAGCAGCCCTTTGCCTCCCCTGCTCGCCAGATTGGCCTCTGGTCTGAAAGATGTGTAGCCCTACCTGCATAGCCATGAGCTTCAACTAATGAAGCTGCGTTGGTTAGGGAAAACTGTGCCAAATGAAGCTGGTTCTGATGGGAATGTGGTTTCCATGTTTCCATACATCTGGGGAGCTAAAATTTTAAGGAAGGTGTAAGGGAATGTTAAAGGGCAGAGTTGAGAATGGTCTTGAGTATGACCACTGTGATTTCAGTCTTGATTACCATGAACAGCATTTGTCCAGTCATTGAGATGGGCTGTGCATCTTTAGATTTAGGTTTCTAACTATGTTATATGATTTGAAGGTCCTACATCCCCTTCTGGCCTTGATGCACTTGCCATGTGAATTATTACTCATTTCTGTGGAAGGAACAAAACACTTACCTGTGAAGTACAATTGGGTACTGTAATCTCTTGAATTGGAGTTTTGACTCCAGTTTTAAAATAGGTCTGATGCTAAACATGTCTGGCAAAAAGTTTGCATTGGTTGTGAATGTATTTCCAGTGGCAGGACAGCGTATATTTGTCTTTTTCAAATTTTCTTGTATTCAGTCTCTCATTTCCTAATCCTGCCAGTCCTGCTTTTTTTTTTGAGGGACTTTATTTTTGACGGACTTTTTTAGGTTAGAGAGAGTAATTGAGGTATAGGGAGGTCTGCAGCCTCAGGGAGGGTCAGTAGTTTAGCCCAGAGCCTGCTTTTAAAGCTCTGCCATTCTGCTTCTCATCCCTTATAGACAAGAGACTTAGTGCTATGTGCTCTCTGTCCTTGCTCCTTTTCTTCCAGCTGTGCTGTGTCTCTTTCTGTGGCTGCATGAACTGGAAGGAAGAGAATAGCAAAGCGCTTGAGAATTGATAGGGAAGATATTTTTAGGCAGAGTGCAAGTCTGAGTGCTGGAAAGGAAAGACACAGTGAAAAAGCCCTGTGAATACTTAACTTGGTCTAGCACAAACTGCTGCCTCTTTGTCATGAAGATCTCCCTCTGCTGATGAAAGCTGTGAATCTTGGTTATTTTTCCAGTTGTGGGTAAAAAGTTGCAAAATGTATACTTTTTTCATATACATATCTATATATATATGTATATACCTATCTTAGAGGTTTTATATATGAGAGAAAATCAATGTGTTCTGAGATCCTGATTCCTTCTTTCTGGCTTTTAAATAAATGTTGATTAAACATTATACTTTCTGTAGTATTGATTTTCCCCTTTCCTAAGTTAATGGCTTTATGACAAATAATTTTTAGGAGTGTGGATTTAAAATTTTTTTTCTTTTCATTTTCTATTGAAAGGTGTATTACTGTGCACAACTGGCCATTCTTGGAATAGATATTGTTCTAATTGAAATGTCAGTATTTCTCAATTTTCTCTCACTTTCATTTTTCCCTCACTTGTCTGAAGCTGCCAGGAAGGGAAGACAAAAAAAAGGTGTGGCAAAATTGCTGCTAATATTTCTTTACTTCCCAGCTGTAGATGCACACTTAATATACCATGACTCATTTTGTAAATGCTTTGATCTCCTGTGACTAATTTAAAATGCTGTTTCCCAGCAGGCATAAGGTGGTTTTACTTTCATTTGAAACTGCTTCCCAAGGTTTCCAGTTCCAAATTCGAGAGAGAATAAGAAGGAAAACAAAAACAAATAAATCAATCTGGCTGAACGTGGGCAGAACTTGCCCTCAGCTGTTCTTGACAATAGCTTTTAGATGACTGGTTCATGTCAGAAAAAAGTTGGGTTTTTTTTCCATTTACTTTGATTGCGTATTTGATTTTTGTTTCCTTTTTCCTTGCTTTTCTCTCTTTTTTCATTGCAAGCCTCTTAGGGAGTCTTTCTTGTCCCTTTTTAGAGAGGAACTTAGCTGCATGTACAGTGGGGAATCTCATAATCTTTGAGTTTCCAGATTTTAAATTCAGTTTGTTCTTCTGGGTTTTAATGAAACAAGAAGTCTTAACTTTAATCCAGAAGCTGGATCCAGCTAGATATCTGTAGCTGAGGCTTCCTTTAAAGAATAATACAAAAATACATAGTGGACATCAAGTTTAATAAATGTATGTGTATTCTTGTTTGGTTTGCATTAAATCTGCAAACTTTGTCTTTATTTCCTGTCATGTTTGAATTCATGAAACAGAACAAAGTGATTTTGTACAATTTGAAGTAGCTTCATGGAGCCTAACCTTCTTCTTGGAGGCAAAGCACACCACTTCCAGCCCCTGGGATGTGGAAGGGGAGTCTTCTGAGCTCTAAGAGCCCTCAAGCTGGTAGCGCAGTTCTCCTTGCCTGTTTCCTTATCTGTAGACAGATTCTAATGCTCCTTGCCTTTCCTTACCCTGTTTTCCAGCTCACAAAGTGCTTGTCAGAGATGATTTCTTGTAGCTCAAAGGTAGTGATTTACTATAATCTCATGTGAAATGCAGAATACTTTCATTTTCTTTCATGTTGTGCTGAAGAAGTTTATTCCTGCTGAGGGCTGAGTCAGCATCTCAGAAATGATGGCAGGCCCCTCACTATTCCCCAGCACCCACCTGAAACAGTTCACAGGTGTTTTGTGTAATGAAGTATTACCAAATGGGGCCATCAGGCATTTAGTGTCTCTCCTCTGCTTTCAAGACCAGTTTTATGAGAATAACTTTTCTAGAAAATGGAAAGGTAGTTGGAAAGGATAATGCAGATTTGTGTGCCGTGAGTTTTTGTATGGTGGAGAAAGCAAGACAGTGTGGGAGGTGCGGTCCCCAACAAGCAAAACAGCAAGAACATTGGAAGCTTTGAGCTTTTTCTCATCAGCTTTCTTTTTGGCTTGCCTTAGGGTTAGGCTTCAACATTGTTGGTGGGACAGATCAGCAGTACATTGCCAATGACAACAGCATCTATGTCAGCTGGATCAAAAAGGATGGGGCAGCTTACCTTGATGGCCGATTACAAGAAGGAGATAAAATTTTAGCGGTAAGCCCTTTCTTCTGTTGTCCCCTGTGTTCTTGATCAGTGATGGGATGTGAGAGGCAGGTTTTCCTTCACAGTGCATAGAGAGGAGGGATGTGGTGAATGAATTAGATGATCCCAAGCGAACTCCATGGAGGAGTCACCTTGGGGATCTGGAGAGAACTCTGAGCACGAGGAATAAGTGCCTCTACGCATGGGCTTATCTCCTCTGCCTTCTTGATTTGCCACAGAAGTGCTCTGTAGTGCTGTGCTTGTGTTTCCTCTGTGACTTGCCTCCCTAAGGTTTTAGAATCCATCAAGTGTTCTCTTGCTCACAATGCATTATCGTTTACACACATGTAAATAAAGGTTTTCCACCTCTTAAATTTCTGGTTTTTGACTGGTAATCCATGATTTCTAATCCTTTTGCACAGGGGGTTTTTAGATGATAAAATTTCTAGGCCATAATATTCTTCTCTCCATTTCACCTCCTCAAGAACAACACGGGCTGCTTCTCCTTTTAGAAAATTGCTTTCAAATTTCTGATTTTCACACCCACTGGTTCTTCAGATAGCTGGCAATCGTGCAAGAAAGCTTTACAAAGTGATGGGTGAAGAAGTAGCCTCTCCTAGTATGATACACAACCTTTTTGTACTCCCTGATTTTATTTTACACTTGCTTATTTTGTTCCTCATGTGATCTTTTTAGCTTCAATAGACTACCTTGCACTAATTGGAACCTATTATTGATCCAGAAAGTGATATTAAGTTAAACAGAGAATATTTTCTTTTTCCCAACAGTTTAATATTTATGTACTTGTGTTTGGGATGTCTAAATATGAAGAGAAGGGAGGCACTGGATGTGATCAGTGGGGATACAGTTAGGGAAATGGGGGTGAAAATGAAAAAGTAGGATGAATTCACTCAGTGAATGAAATCAATTTAAAACCCTGTGTCATGATATATTCATTTAAATTAAGAAAAATCCCAACACTTACAAGTGGATCAAGTGGATGCCAAGAAGTATGTATGTAAATTTTTTTTTGTTGGTTTTGCTACATCAGTGTGCTTATAAAAGTGTGTTTACAGCACTCTCTCAAACAGAGGGATTTCAAAGGTACACCAGTAGATGAAACAAGGGAAGAGACTTAAAATAATAATTTTTCTGTAGCTGCCCTTTTATGTCCATTAGCTGTCAAAATCACACCTTTGATTTGTTTCCAGCAAAGCAACAGCATCAGAAGCTGCTATTGACACAACTGTGGTCTTTTATTCTTATTTTGCCTCTAGGTAGTTTTTTTCAGTACCTGTGTGTTTTCAGTTGGAGTTTCTCATGTTCTGACTCAACATAGAAAAATACATCATAATATTAATTAATTAATTAGGATCTTTATGACTATAGTATTATGCCCCAAATGCAGAATTTTGTGAAACATGAAGATTTTTTTGTCTTATCCTTCATATGTTAGCCTGCATCATTAAAAATTTGCTTGCTTTACCTTCAGCATCTGACTCTCCTTTTCCTTTTTTGCTAGATCAATGGCAAAGACTTGAAGGATTTGCGGCACAAGGATGCTGTGGAACTGTTCAGGAATGCAGGCTATCACGTGTCTCTGAAAATTCAGCGCAGGGTACGTTTTACCTCTTCCTTAGGGTTATTTCTGGCTCAGTTTAGACTGGTTTCTGTGATTGGTGGCTGTTTCATGAGGAATAAGAGTACTGTGTTCAGGTGCTCAGTGTGATATGTGCATATAAAAATTTTGTTTGACCTATGACCTTCTCTCATTACCTCAGCTGTAGTTATCTCTGTATAGCTTTGTGGACACTGTAATCTTTGTAACAGTGAAAAGGTGAGTTTGGAGATGTCTCCAGGTCTTTGTTTTGCTGGAGTGTGTTGTGTTTGCTCACTGTTCTCCTTTCTCAGAGGTAAAGCTTTGTGTATGAGGACAGAATCTCAAGTTGGCCAGTTTTATTTCAGTGGCCACAATCTTACTGGAGACAGAACTCCATTTGTTTCAGAGGCCATCACTCAAGATAGTGTTGAACTGTGTGTACAGCCCAGTGCTACAAGACAGACATTGAGGTGCTGGAGCAGAGAAGGGTGATAAAGCAGGTGAAGGGTCTGGAGCACAAGTCTGGTGAGGAGCAGCTGAGGGAGCTGGAGGTGTTTAGCCTGGTGTTTATCTCAGGAAGACCCTATTGCTCTCCACAACTGCCTGGAAGGAGGCTCTATCCAGGTGGGGGATTGGTCTCTTCTCCCAGGCAACAAGTACAAGATGGAGACATCCTCAAGTTGCATCAGCTCAAGTTTAGATTGCGTATTAGGAATTTCTTCACTGAAAAAAGGTTGTCAAGCAGTGGAACAGGCTGCTGTGGGAAGTGGTTGAGTCACCATCCCTGAAGGCATTTAAAAAATGTGCAGATGTGGTGCTTAGTTGAATGGTAAACTTGGCAGTGCTGGGTTAATGGTTGGACTCAGACGACTTTCCAATAAATGATTTTACAATACTAGGAAATATGGACTGCTATACTTAAATATACTGGCACCATTTTAGATGTAAAAAGAGATAAACCCTTAATCCCCAGATAGTATGGAAGTTGACAAAAGAAATACTGATCTACCCAAAGCATGCTGGGGAGAGTGGCTTGAGATCCCTTTTCTACTCCCTTAACAAAGGAGTATGTCTGCTGGACCAGGGTATAAGACAGGTAAGAAAACCAGAGAGAATTATTGATGTCTTTTTCCTGGTAAAGAGAGCAGAAAATGGTGTGGTGGTAAGTGCATCAAGGGGTGACTGGGTATGTGTGTGTCATTTTCCTGCTGTAAAGAGAGCAGAAAAATGAGGTGTGTCCTTTTGCCCCCTGCTCCACTTGAGTCCAAGTTTAGAAAGTGGCAGAGAAACATGAGGGTGCCTGGTAGTGACTGGATATCCTGCATTTCAGTTCAGTCCATCCTAAGCTGTTTTAACCCTCCATGTGTGGAATCTGCAGGTACCTGGGGAAACTATTTTGACCATTCTTACAGAACCACCTGGTCCAGACACAGAACTAGGGGCTCTCTTGTTATGAGTTCTGACAAAAATATTTTTTTTTCCTTGTAGTTGCAGCCACAGAATGGCCCTGTGGGTCAAGGAGGAGATGGAGAATCAGGTGGGCTTCCTCTGGCAGCCATTCTTGTGCCAGGCCTGGCGCTTGCTGCAACAGCAGTCTGGATCTTGCTGAGGTATCGACAGCGGATGTGAAGAGTTCACGGCTGGGATATCACTGCGTATTTTACACAGCTATGATGCAATTTAAAGATAGAGAATCAACAATCTTGTCACAGACTGATGCCAAAAAGGATCATTGCCTATCATCAAAGTTGCTGCTGATGTTCGTATATATTGATTTTGTTGCAGGGTGGATAGAAGCAGAGAGAAAAAAAGGGAAGGGAGAGGACTGTGTTTATGTAAAGAGTGGGATAGCTGTATTTTTTGACAAATCGAGGAGGTTTTGCCATCCTCTTCTATTTTGCACCATGAACTTTCAAACACACTCATCTATTCCACATTTTAAGGTTTAACTTTTGGTTAAAGGGAGTGGGAGTGATTTTAAATCAAAAACATTTTCTAGAGGCTTTGCCTTGTTTCCACAGAATTTTTTCTTGAATCTAATGAATTCTGTCCAAACCATGAATAAAGAGAAGCAATGCAAAGGGTATATTATTTTTCCTATTGAAGTTTTGTCGGTTGTTGCTAAATAAATGCCTTAAATGTGTAAAATCTGATCTGTGGTTTCACAGGTAAAATCTTCAGTGTAGCTACTGATTTAACAGCAATATGCAGTATTGGTGAGACATTTTGCCAGTTGTGGAAAGATAGAAGATAGCTTGCTGCTAGAAGAAGATTGTGATTGTCAAAATGATAGCTCATTTTTGGGTCAGAGTTGTAAGAAAAAGCTTTCCACAAAATGCTAGCATACTGGAGAGAGACAGACAACTGAATCACAAGGATAAGTGGTGGCAAGAGATTCAGGCATGCTGAAGCTGTAGAAGAGCCTTTAAATTCATAGTGAAGCAATAGTTCCTCCATTCATCAGGTGGGTTGAAGTCTACATCTCTCAGGTTAGAGGTCTGGGGGTTATTTTTTGCACAGGGAATACTTCAGATAAAATTTTCGGTAGCAGCTAACTTGCTCTCTGCGGTCAGGAGACTCTTATGATGATTGAAAGGGAGAAGCTGAGAGCAGGCTGGGGTTGTCCTGGCTTTTACTTGTTTGTGAAGAGTTATGTGATGTTCAGGAGATGGACAGTCAGCTTTAAGCTGGGGTAAAGCCTAGCAGGTAAAATCAGAGGGAAGAGACCCTCCTCTGGAAAGTATATGGCTGAATTTACCTCCAGGGTCTCATCTCCTCACTGTGATTTGAATAGATTTAAATGCCCTAGCTTGATAGGAGCTCTGTGGGTAAGACCTGTTTCTCTTGTCTCCAAGAAATCAATGTGTTTTGTTGTTTTTTAAAAGAAAAGTGAAATGCATGGTCTGGTCTGTATGATGCCAAAGAAGAGATCACAGATGCAATATATGTTTTCAAAGAAAAACTGGTGTCTTGGTGCTTTACTTATCTCTGTTCTCATAGGACATTGCTGATGTATTTGAAATTGTTGTGTTTGCTCAGGGCTATGTTCCTGAGCAAACTGCTGGAGATAAAAGTGGCTATGCTGTTGAACATGGCATTCCTAAATCACCTTGGAGCTTCAGAGCACTTGGATCACATGAAATCTTGCTTTGGCCTATAGACTGCTCTAGTGTAAGGGGAAGCGGAAACTGGAAGAATTTTGCTCCATGTTCTTAGGGGACTTTGGGAACAATATTGATGTTGACTGGCCTGGGCTAAGGCATGCAGTGACTTCCCTTGGCCTGCAAACCAGTTGTGCCTGATAGCAGAAGGGCTGCTGTGTAGACAGATCTTTGCAGCTACAGCATGAACCAGCTTGTTTGTGACCTGCTCTGAATATTTGGCTGTGGTGTCCATGTGCAGCCCATGTGTGTGTTAAGATGGGTGATTAGAAATTGATGCTGTTTTATCACAGCCTTCAGAATAAACAGGCAGACATTAAGAAAATGGCCTGTCTTGTTAGCTTTTCCCTGAGTTGAGTTTCTGTGATGAGAAGTAGTATGTGGATCAGGCTAGGAGCATGAGAATTTATGGACAGTAATGTTTTAGTCATTTCCCATTGAAGTAAGAGAAAGAAAAAGCTTTGGGATTTTTTTTGTTTGTTTGCTTGTTTAACCTTTCAGCTTTGTGACTTTGATACTGTTCAGACATGACTGCCATCTATATTGCAGGCAGTTTATGAGGGAGAGAAGGGATTATAGTCAATGCTCAAATAATTGATATGGCTTATTAAAAAAGAGAAGGCCCTTCTGGTGCATAGTGTTCACAATTATTGAACTGCCACTCAGTAGCTTTTTCAGAAGTCTGGGTAGTAGTTTTTACTCAGGATTTAAACCATCCATTCTAAAAGTGAGTAACACCTTTGTGGACCTGCCTGGTACCAAACAATCCCTTTTCCAATCCCCATCCACCTCTTGTCCCATTTATTGACAAAACCCAAGTGGAAAATACCTTGACCCCAGACTCTCCTATGAACTGTGGCTCATACTACTTTCAGCAGCTGGACTGTCTCACCTAACCTTTCCATGATTTTCCAAAGTATTTTCCACCATGTGGTTTCTGAAGCCTTGAGTTTCATCTTTGCACTAGATACTGTATATACATTTTCTATCATTGTAGAAGAAGCAAATTTTAAAAAATCCAGTGAAGACAGCTTGTAAATACAAGTGATCAAAGAGAGTTTTACCTTTTGTTACAACTTAAATCTCTGGGGTTTTTTCAAAAGTTAAGTTGAAATCCTGAAGACAAACAGAAAGCATCCTAACTGTATTTTATGTTTGTTTTGTTTAAGAACACATTTGCCATTAATACTGAGGGCAGCTGAAACTCTTAAATACCCATGTTTCTCTCCCATTCTCATTTGTTCCCTCAAATGTATTGTGAATGTGCTGATCTGCTGAAAAATGGATCTTCAGGTCCATAACTTAAGGACAAATCTATGTAGTTTGACTTAATGTATATTCTAAGCATTTGTGTTTCAGTCTTCAGAATTGTATGTGCTAATAATATATATTTGACTAGATCATAACAGTGAGAGAGAGCAGCTAAACTTGATCTGAAGATTGGTAGATGCACTACTTCTGGCAGTTTTTAATTAACACAAACTAGAAAGGAGTGTGTGGGAGGAAGAAGTGTCTTGCTTTCAGTTTGCCTTTAGGTTCCAACAACTGGTTTGTTTGGTTATTCAGTGCTAGATTAAAGAGGCCTCTAATAACTGATAGTCCCTCCCTTTGAGGGGATTTGTGTGTTATAATTGCCTTACCTCTCACATTATTTTTAAGAGATGAAGCCAACAGAGCCCTTTCAGATTCTCTGTGTAGGGTACTTTCTCTCTTTTAGTAGTTTCTGTGGTTCTTTGTACCCTTTCCAGTTTCTTTATTGCTTTGTAAAATCCAGACACTCCAACCACATGAGACTCCCACTGTTGACCATGCCAATGCCCCATACAAGGAGTTTTTAATACTATCTTTGTCTGCAAACTTAATTTTTTTTTTTTTTAAGTTATGGATAAGTACAAAGCATATTCAGGCCAACTCCCAAGAGTTTGCTTTTTCTTAACTAGACTGTAGAAGTCTCTTAGGAGTGGCATACAGCTTTGCCCTTCTTCATCTGCTGTCTCAAGTGTCCTAAGGAATCTGTAGGAAAACAGATTCCTTAGGACTCAAGTGTCCTAAGGAATCTGTAGGAAAACACCATTGTTTTCCTACAGATTGTCTCAAGTGTCCTAAGGAATCTGTAGGAAAACACCATTGCCCATGAGGGGTAACTTCTCTTAGTCTGTAGGTCGAAAGAGTGATTCCATTTGGTCATGGTGGGACACTGGAAACGTGTTAAGTGCCATGTATTCCAACTTCTAAGTCCATACCCAATGTGACCTGCCTGGTGTGAGGGAGGGTGTCTGACTGCATTTTGTTGAATGCCTGCACCTCCTGTTTGCATTCACTGTGCACTGACCAGCCAAGATTACTGTTTGGTTTTGCCTTCTGCTAGATGATCAACAAAGATAGTGAATGGAGTTTGGTACAGGGGCAACTTGCCCCCATGGTTATGAGTTTTCAGTAGCTGTGGGCATCTCCTGATTTTGGGCTTCTTTGTCTGTTTAATGGATGTATTTTGGTAGCGTATGGCATTGATTTTTTAAAAATACATCTATTATTTTGTTCAGCATGTTGCATAGTACTAAGTAGATGATGTTTGAGTGGTAAGTAAACTTCATCGTTCTCTTGCTGGCAGAATGTGATACAAGGGTAAGGATTCGGTCAGGTGAGCTTTATGAGCCAGTGTTTTTCTCCATCCTCTTTCCTAACTTATTGATGTGGGCTTTACTTATGGAAGTTATTTTTCTCTGCTCATGTTGAAGGACAGAATAGAACTTACTAATGGGACAGTATCCCCCAGGCTGAGGGCCCAAAGGAAGGCTTACACAAAGAATTCTGAAGGAGGGCCTTGACTATACCCTTGTCCTCAGGGTTTTCCTTGTGACACTGAGGCAGGCTCATGCTACATCCATGCTGTGTATGGCACCTGTCATCTCTGGAGCTCTGCTCTCTCTGCCTGTGCAGCTGAGGGGGACTCCAGGCCTTCCAAAGCTTCATTCAAGACAGAGCCATGTGCCATGTGTGATGAGAACATACACAGGTGTTAATGAAGAGCGGGGTGGGGGGGGGGGGGTGTGTCTAACAGACTCAAAATAGCTTTCCTTGTCATATTTGACAGCTTTTGGCCTTGCTGCTGCAGCTGTAACTGATCGTGGGCAAACTTCACTGCAGAGTGAGCGTATATTTCCTACCTGGCTGCCCAAACCAACTTTCCTAGGCCAAAACTCTTAGTAAGGAAGAGTAACTGTGATGTTTATGCAGGGTAATTATTCAAAGCAGTATGTGAATGATAGGAGATTTTTCACCAAGCTGGTATGCTCGTGTTTGTGTCCATGTTTTCCAGCCATGTTTCCATTTGGTAGAGTTCTCTTTCCTCTTGTATCTCTTTACCGCCTCTCAGCAGCCTAGCATTTGTGCCTGGCTTACATTTTTTTGCCATGACACCAAAGCACTGATCAGCTGAATATCTGGTTCTGAAGCTGTGGAATGAAGCTGGAAAATAAGCCAAACACAATCCTGCACATGGACTTCTGTGGCTGTGGTTATAAAACAAGAAAACTGTCAAAATGCCGCTTCAGAGAAAGCACTTTGCTACTGCTGTTTGTAAATGCTGTTTCAGGCGCTGCTGCCAGAACACATATGCTGCTGTTCAAGGTGAACAGTGCAGTATGGAGATGTGGGCTGCTGTGAAAGGCCCTAATTACAGAAGATGGGCTGGAGAGGGAGAAGGGTTTGAATAACCCTGAAGACTCAACAGCTGCTGCTAAAGGACAAGGTTTGTGCTTCTGTTGACTTGGAAGTATCTGTGCTGATTCTTTGCTAAGCAGGTCCTACTTGCCCAAAAGACAGGCATGCTTTTTTTGCATAAGGTCTTGATTTTGAAGCAGTTAAATATAAAGAGATTTGTTCTCAAAGGCTTCAATTGACTGAAATAGATTCCAACAGTCATAACATTTAACATTTTAGAGGTGAGATTGTAGGCTGCCCTTTAACAGTGGCAACTATTTCTGATGCGGAGCTAAACAGCAGAAGATACAGAGGTTCAACATCTAGCATGGAGAAAAACCCCCAGTGTTAAGCTGGTGTTCCCACCATGATTCCCCTGGCAGTGGGGAGAGGTGGGAGGAGAAGGAGAATGGCAGATTATCAAATGGCTGTTACTTGTCAAGTGCTGATCTATTTTAAAAGCACAAAAATGGAAGCTGTGGGACAAGGATGAGTTAACAGGAGGGCAATCCAAGTGTGCCACATACCTGTCCTCCTGAGATTTTAATTCAGAGAGAAACTCAGCTTGCTTGACATGCCTTTTAAAGGTATTCCATACATCTCCCATATGGATTAATTACTAAGGTGCTGAAAGTAGAATGCTTGCTTTGTGAAACCAGCAGTGATGGCATATTTCTGTCATTTAACAATTGTCCGTGTAAATGCTTTGCAATGCATACTTGCTTTAGCACCCATACTTTTCATGAGGGCACTTGATACCCTAATCTATCTGAACATAGCTTGAAGTGTGTAGCAAAATATGGATGAAAATAATGTAATAATACTGTGTAAATACAGAAATGACCCATTTGAACAATCAGTGCCTGTTGAAGATACAATCACTGAGCATTAGTGATTCATTAGCAATTCTCAACCCATTGATTCCAAGGTGGCAATTTCGAATTAGTGCAATGTTCTTGTTATCTAAATACATATTTAGATAACAAGAAGGTGGTTGTTGTTTTATAGGGAAGGGTCATACAAATGTTCCTGCTAGTTGGGAGGCATGACTGCTAAGTAGAATGTGGAGCAAAGTAAGTGAGAGATTAGTGCAAATGACACATTGTGCAGATGGTGAAAGGGATGAGTCACACTCGGATGTGCTAATAGCTGTTATTGATGAAGGAACTCTTTCTCAAACAGTTGTTAGTATGGTTTAAGTTTATCATTTGGGGGCTTGTGTGTTTATCCCCAGGCATTAACAACACAGACTGTTCAAGAGCTGACACTCATAGCCATTTGCTCACAGCTGCTTGCACACATGGCTGCATGGATATCTTCTCCAGCAAGATGATCTATGCCAGAATCAGGAACTGGCTGTACTGTTTTCCCTTGGCTAAGGGGATACATGCCAATTTCTGAAATAACCTTAAAAAGGCAGGAAGAGGGCAGAGAATAGAGAGCTTTAGTATTTCAACCAGCACATCTTTAGCTTTACAAACCATAAAAAATTGTACACTAGAGGTATCTAGTTACATACAGCAGGAGGAAAATCTGCCCATCAGTGGAATTATTTGTGTCAAAGAGAGGGGATGTTCTTCTTGCCTTTCACTTCTTTTACTGCCACTTTTTGAAGAGGCTGCATTGATTGTGCTTCTTTCAGGATGATATTAATGAACATTTGCATGATAGGGACAACTCCAAACAAGGGAACTGGGTCCATATGTCATACAAATTCAAATACGCTTTGCTGGACCAAGTGTTTGTTTGGAGTGGAGACAATGCCATAGCTCTCCAAGTGATAGTTCACTGGCACCAACTATTTTCTAGGAATCTGATCTTTTTCCAAATCCCTGGTTTTGGATTTGCAGAGCTTC